ATGCAAAACCAAGTTTTTAATCATTTGATTGTGTACATTTGGGACTGCGGAGGGCCTATCAGCAGGAAAAGTGTGAAAAAAAATGACTGGGTCATGTTTTTGTGGGCTGCCTCAGTCTGAATCCAGGAGATAAATCAGGAGGTTTCAGGAGTGGGTAGTTTCTGACCTCATTAGCTCTAGCTCATTATAATATTCCAGCCTTTCACCTGCATGTTGCCCCCCCCCTCAGCTTACTCCGCCTATCTGTGCGGACTTGTAAAATGTATTCGTGTAACGGGAATAGCATGCTACTTCTAGATTTTTATAAGCAGTAAATGACACAAACAGCGGTCATATTTACATTTAGTCAGCGACCATATTTACCTGACGTACAAACATACACATTTTTAAGCGTGGTAGCGTTATCTTGGTAGCGTTAGCATGGTAGCGTTAGCGTGGTAGCGTTAGCATGGTAGCGTTAGCATGGTAGCGTTAGCGTGCCGACGTGGGCACACCTCCCTGAAGAAGTGGGTGGATTGCCTGTGTCTCATTTGCATTTAAAGAGACAGGCACTCCAAAGCGAGCGCTCTGAACGGGGCTGTTTTGGGTTAGGGTTAGGGTTAGGGTTAGGGTTAGGGTTAGGGTTAGGGTTAGGGTTAGGGTTAGGCAGGGGGACTGAACTGCTATTGGGCTTCATCCTTATGGGATTCTGACCAAAGCTTGTCACAGACATTACATTAGGACACCAGGGAACTAGCTTAACTTGTTGAAATATGGTACAATATGTCTCCTTTAAGAATGTGAACACTTACGTTCAGTCCCCAGATGAGAGCAGTGAATTGAGAGTATTGGGACAAAAACAAACATCCTTTCTTTTTTGTTTTTTGTTTTGTTTTAGATTTATAGACCTCAGTCTTAGGGTGATCATGCGTGCCATGTGGTTCTGCGGCGGCTTCCACTGGATCCTGGTGAAGGGGGAAAGGGCCACGCCCTCAGAAGCTCCCATCCTGACCGTGGCGCCACACTCCTCCTACTTTGACGCCATCCCGGTAACCATGACGATGTGCTCCATCGTGACCAAGCTGGAGAGCAGGAGCATCCCCGTCTGGGGCAGTAAGTCCAACTCACGTTCAACACAGCGAAACCCAAATAAATTCAGCCGGTTCAGATCTCAGGGAGAGATGTTTGGGCTGAGAATAAGCTATAACAATAGATTCTTTTGTGTGTATATATATATACACACACATATATGTGTACAGACATATATATATGTATATGCCGCTGTTTTATTTATGGAGCCAGTAACAAAAAGAATTTCCATCTGCGATTATTAAAGTATTTCTGATTCTGATTCTGATTAAAAATCTTTATTTTCTTGCAAAATTAAGCCGTTAAAGTATTTTTACTAGATGTGTGACCATTTAAGAGGAAGTGTAAAAATACCATTCAGATATTGAAGCATTTCTCATAACAAAGGCCGTTTAGCTAGTTTGAAACGATCTCAGTTTTGTCGTAAACTTTATTTACAAAATGATTAGTAGTCTATTAATTTAGAAGGGGTCTTAAATGCATTTACCTCTGTATTTAAATGCTTATTTTCTTGCAAAAATAAAGCTGTTACAGGATGTTTACTAGATGTGTGAAAATTTAAGAGGAAGTGTAGAAAAACCATTCAGATATTGAAGCATTTCTCATAACAAAGGCCGGTTGGTTAGTTTGAAACGATCTCAGTTTTGTCGTAAACTTTTTAAGATGACCAATTTCTCAGTGTCTTGTAATGCTTCCTATTGTTGTCCAGATCTCTTCAGTTCTCACTCGAGGCTGAAAATGATTCCTTATCTTTCCACCAATTCATTTGACTGTCACGTTGATCATTATATCTCTGTAACCACCGCCAGGAAATGCCTTCGAATTTGGACTCGATTAGATTTTTGACATCAAATAACTAGCTCAACTTCACAAAATGATTAGTCTAATTAAATTAGAAGGGGTCTTAAATGCATGTAGTTCTGCATTTAAATGCCACAACTCAGAATCAAGGGGCCATATTAGTGAAACAGTAATTGGTGACATTAACCTTTGGTGACCCCCCAGAAAATGGTGCTGATTAATATCTGTGTGTTGGGAAGCTGTTTGTAAAGCGCCTGTAGCCCCGCTGTAATGGCTACTGGTTCTGTTTTAGTGGACAAATGACATAAACAAGCGGCATCAGATCTATTAGATCTTTTTTTCTTGTTGGCATGCTGAACCCACATCAACCTGAAACACCAGTAAAAACACCTGGAGGGGCCCTTCTCTTAGCAGGCAACCCTTTGCCTCACAGGCATGAGGATTTTTGCAGTACACACTCTCCTTAAAACATCCAGAATATGAAGAGATTGCTTGCTATTCACTGATCACAAAGAAGGAGGAAACTCGCACATAAAACCCTGTTGTTAGCCCTTTAAAGCCCGATCCAAGAAAAATTATTATAATATTGGATTTTTTTAGTCTGAAATCTTTCTTTGGCCCCTCAACAACATATGAAGAAAAAAAAAACAGAAATTATTTTGATCAAATTAGCGTGCAATAAGTCAAAAATGTATTTTGGTGTAGTCTTCTACTGGCTGTTATCAGGTATATCTGAATGTGTACAACAGGGGTTTGAGCAAAGCTTTTACCACTGAATGATGAAGAAAGTCTCAGATCCAAAAGACTTCAGAAACCATATCTATTAAATATGACACATTTGGCATTATAGGGTTAAATGCTAAGTGTAAAAAAAGGTTAAACTCTATCCGTAAATACAAAAAATATCAAATGAATAAATAAAGTGAGTCCATATGTAATGGATCAGTAAATGCTGTGTTGGCTGTAGTTAGAGGTGTGCTGTACATTAATTCATTTATGTGGGAAGGAGAGTTTTTCTGAGGTGAAAAACCACAATTCCACCAATTGGCCTGACCCCGGAGCTCAGATCCAAAAGACTTCAGAAACCAGATCAGATATGACACATTTGGCTTTAAAGGTAAAGGATTTTTCTATGAAAACTCTACAGTAACTCTACAAAAACAACATTTACAGTTAGACATCAACGGTGACGACATGATAGGTGGAAATAATGTCCTGAGACACAACATATCATCCAGTGGTTAAACCAGCCGACCTCTTATTTTGTTCGAAGTGAAAACTGATTCGGTTTGCTTTGCTTTTGCTTTTCCTTTTGCTTTACTTTGTCCTGCAGCTTTGATCAGCTACATCCGGCCCGTGTTTGTGTTCCGGTCGGACCAGGACTCCAGGAGGAAAACGGTGGAGGAGATAAAGCGCCGGGCCAAATCTGGAGGGATGTGGCCCCAGGTGAGTCGTTCCCAGACTGATCCAGATCCCGTATCGCACACCCATCTAAAACGGGACCGAGTGGGCGAGAGAGAGAGAGAGAGAGAGAGAGAGA